GCCTCCAACTGTGCCACGCGTTCGGGCATGCGCAGATGAACAATAATGGAGGTGCGCGTGATAATGTTTTAAATGACAATGCCGACAGGAATGAATTGCGTGCCAGCACTTCAAGCACGGAAGGTGACGGAATTAAAGAGAAGCGTCTCACCGGTTCAAATAACAATGGGATAAGGGTGATGTACACAATGCTTTGAATGACAATGCCGACAAGAACAACATGGCCGCCGGCAATTCAAATGACAATGACGACAAAAACGAAATGAGTGACAAAGTTTTAAATGTAATTACGACATTAATGAAATTTAAAACAATGCATCTGATCCTAGTACGAGCAAACCTGGTGTAAATATTCGAATGTCAACTGATGTTAAATCGATAAATGTCATAATGTAAATGATGTGGAGGTGGTACAAACCCACCCTCTATTTTTACTAGGAGTGTCGAGTGATCCATTCGACACAATACAGACTCCTATCCCTATGGATCTGCCCGAGGACAGGGATGATGCGAAGTCGATTGTATCCGACTGCTCTGAACTGTCTACTCAGAACTGTTTACAGAGGCCAGAGGCCAGGGAAATTACTGTCCGAGTGAAAAAGAAAAACTGCTTTCTCGCGATGGTTTAAATCTCGTTTTGGTTGAATCCATTGATTAAAAAAAAAAACCTTCGTTACCTGTTTTTGTCCCAACTTTAGGTTGTGGTCGCGCTCTTTCAGTGCGGTGCGTAAAGCCCCGGAACTTTGAAGCAACGAAAAGTGCGCAATCAACGGTTAAAATTATTAAACGTGTTAAAAAATGATTGAAACCCGTGACACCTTAAAAGACGAAATTTAAAAAAAAAGCGTGGCAGTCGACCACCAGATACCGACATTTATTTCTTCAATCTGTTCAAGCCGATGAAGCCCAATGGTGAATTATATAGAGATCTTCTATTTTCTTTTCTCATGACAATAAAAATACAAATAAAAACACATGGTGTTGAATTACTGAAATAAATTACACTACAACATCTTGGCAGAAAAGGTGGTGCTTTATTAGGGAACAGCAAAAATAAAAGAAAAGCACCCAGGCCAAGGCGAAGCAATTGCTAAAAAGATGTAAAGTAATGTGTTGTGTATGTGTTGTAAACAGTTTAAAAACATACAAATTAAAAGCTAGGCAACAATGGATTGATAATACAGCCAAAACAAAGTCAGCTTGGACGTTCAGTTGTGAGACATGACAAAATAAACGCAGCCAGTGATATATTTCGAGAGTAAAACAACAAAATAAACGCAATCAAAGACGCCGACCACGCGCGCTGGAAATGAATAGAACACGTTGTGGCAAGGAGTCTCACCTGCCTCTTTTACTAATGGAAACGCACACACACGTGCCATTTTTGTATATTTCGGCAAAGAAAAAAACACCGCAGAGGACAAGTTTACAGCCAAAACAAGGTCAGCTTGGACGTTCAGTTGCGAGACATGACAAACTAAACGCAGCGAGTGCTACATTTCGAAAATAAAAATACGAAATAAACGGAATCAAATGCGCCGGCCACGTGCGTTGGAAATAAATAGAACGCGCTGTGATACAGTCTCACCAGTCACTTTGCCATCAGACATATCCCTGTACAGGATTTTTTGAACAATGTCTCAAATTTCCGAAAGAATATTCGAATACTAGTTGGGACATAGACCTTAGAATATGTATTTTAATGTCTATGGTTGGGGTAATATGAATTGAATACTTAGTATTCATATGATCTTTTGAAAAATTGGCTATACAGTTCGCAACCATGATTTGGTGAATTGGCGAATTTTCAACGAAGACAACGGCTCCGGTCATGAGCAGAGTTTGCTGTGTCACGAAGTCAACATTTTACAATGTTGAACACCAATTTTCGTTCTTGACATTGTGAAATTATTTCATTTTGGGGGAGAGAAAAAAAAACTGAAAAAAATGATTTTGACAAGATAATTCAGAAATTTATATTAAGAATAATTCATTGCACCCATAAACTATTTTCATAATTACTGATTACACACGAATATTACAGAAAAGGAGATCATTTGCTATATTCTTGTTTGCACGTCATGTTCACAAAATCGCAGACAATTTTTTGTAAGTGTGCCCTTTGAAATGGCAAATTAAATATTTTTATTTTCGAAATGTAGCACTCGCTGCGTTTATTTTGTCATGTCTCGCAACTGAACGTCCAAGCTGACTTTGTTTTGGCTGTAAAAGCTTGACATTGCTAAATTGTTTTGTTTGAAGGTGGTGTAAATAAAGGTGTTTATTTCTAATGTTTTGTACAATGTGTAATGAGTACTTAACGCGATTCGGCGTATTTGTGTTAGTCTCTGTGATATCATCACCTGTATCCCTGTGGGTATTTTGGTTGCACTGCGCTTCTGAAACTGAAATAAATTGGTTTGGTGTTGTGCTGCTATGTGAGAAAACGATGTTGGTGATACTGTCTAATGGGGGTGGGGGTGGTGGTGGGTTGAGAAAGGTGGTGTATTCGTGTGGTCCTGGGAGACGCGGGGCACAATGTTCGTGAGGGCATAACACAATTGAGGTATCGGTGAACTGGTGGGTGATGGTACAGTTTGGATGTTGATTAATGTAACTGCCACTATTATTTTGTATATTGGTATGTTGTTTTCATTCCTTTGGTTTGTGTGGGTAGTCCTTGGCTGAATGTGTGGCCTTGATTTTATGAACAAACACGGGATGCAAATATGGTACACTGTCTCACAAGCCTGGTTTTGATGATCACTCCCATGTCTCAACTTTGGAAGTTGTCACAGTAGCGCGTTTGATATCTTGTACTTCTAGTCTGCCTAGTAAAGAGACACCTTGCTTTAATATGTGAAAAATAAATGTTCCATCCTTGTAAACCTTTTCTATTTCCTCCAGTACTTCGGCATTTGTTTTTATTTTTAATTTTCCCTAATGTTTTATTTTTAATTATTTTTTACAACAACAACAACAACAACAACAACAACAACAACAACAACAACAACGAGAAATGGGGAGTATACATCCATCTGTTTAGTTTTCTCATGATTATTTAGACTTAAGTTTTTGACTTCGGCATTGTAAATGCGGACTTTGCTTCAAATATACAACTCACATAAGTGCAGTATGTCAGTAAGATAGCTGGCTCGTAGCTGCTTGTATTGTTCAGGCTCTTTGTGAAAGATGATGTAAATTTCGCCCCTTGTCAATGCTGAGAGAGTTGGTTGCTTATAGGGCAACTTATCTATGTTTGAACCCAGTCTATGTGTAGCCAGTTTACTTGTAAATTCATGGGCCATGGAATTATGTACAACACTTGGTCAGTCGCCATTCTTGCATCACCTGATTTTGGCTTCTTTTTCTTTACTTTAGGGCGAAATACACCATAAGCTAGTGTCTAACCTTTCCTATCGGTGGTTCAGTATCATCGTTGGAATTCAGGAGCTGGGAGCTTCTCTTCAATACAGGTCTAATTATAGACGTCTCTGGTAGCGTGCTCATCTTATAAGTCTTCTCTCTACACCTCACCACAACTGAGGCAGTGCAGGGAAGGAAATATACCGGCAACGAATACAATAAATCAAAACAACACAATGTATAAAGTTTCCTTTACTTTAATAAATACTAGTAAATAGTACGGGTCAATGGAACCAGCAAGGAATGGAGATATACTGTAAACAAATAAAACTTAGAACCCGATCTATGCTCAACTCCACTCTCCGGTGAACAGCAATGTAC